CTCATATTAGATGAGGATACGTAGACACAAGGCGACGATGTCTTTACAAGCAACCTTTCCCCCATCACTCGTAGTTTTCAGAACTACGTTGATTTTGACTTTCTCATTGCACGAGGGAATACGTAGGCATAGGGCGATGATATCCTATCGAGTCTCTTTCTTTTTCTTCACTATGTTTCTGTTTAGCAGTAGCTTTTAGACGACACACCCTTTGATTAGACAACAAGCGTGGATCCCGTTGAGTACAACGGACGTGAGTGGTTCTCATACATTTCCCTTGCGTAACCAACTCCCGTACCCAAGATTTGGTTGCGATGACCTTGTCTTTTCCCGTTCTTCAGATTTTCTTCGATCATTTCCTTTCCATACGTCTGGAATAAATAACGTTCGATGGTGACTCTTTTGTTTTTCCGCAAGTGTTTTTCGCAGTTCCGACAGACATTATAATAGTTGAAAAGTCCAAGTGTAACATATGCTAAAGGTTATCCTAAAAGTGATAATTAACAAAATAAAACTGATTTTAAGCCATGTTATTCACCCATTCCAAAGAGCCTTTGTTTCGGATAGACTAATAACAGACAACATTATTCTTGCCTTTGAGACCTTTCATTCTCTTAATAAAAACAAGAATAAATTAAAAGGTTTTACGGGGATGAAAGTTAATATGGTAAAAAATTATGATATACTTGAGTTGGAGTTTATATTTATAATACACTTAAACCCATGAGGTTCCGAAATATAATGATTGACACTATCATGAGCTATGTAAAGACAAGATCTTTCTCCATCATTATTAATGGGAACCATATTAATAGTTTCACCCTTTTAGAGGTATTATATGCCGAGGTCCTTTCGAGAATAATAACTAATAACATTGATAATCATAACGTCTTGGGTTTTGATGGATTGACTCGAAATGCTAATGGTGATTGTGTTCACGGTTTTGTGAGTAATGTTGAGACGATGACTCTATATCATGGTTTGTGTATGACTTGAGATCTTAGCATCAAAGACCTGATGCGTTATTCTAATTTCAACTCAGATATCAAACTTATCTCAGAGTCTGTTAATGTTTGACATCACTATGTTGTTACAACATTAAAAAAAAACTTATCTCTAGAGAACAATACATTCAAATATTTCATATTTTTAAAGAGTAAAATGTTTGTGCTGACCATCTGACAAAATATGAAGCTGATAATGATACGAAATATCAATTTTTTTACGAAACTTCCTATTCGAATCATTACTACTGATACTAATGAGATTATATACATATACATATGTTTTTTTTTTCTTTTCCCACTTGTAAAAAAAAAAATTTAGGTTTATGGTGTTGTCTACCTTTGAGTAAGAGCAACTTTAACGCAGGGTTGTTAAACCAAAATTCTTTATAGCTTACGTTAGTAATAAGGAATTTGCATTATAGGAGAGCTGACGTAGCATCCAAATGAACTAAAATTTAGTTCCCATCATCTATATAGTTAACGTTAACTATGTGAAACCTATTATAATATTATTTAATATTAATAAAATATTCTAAATATTCCAACAACATTAAAGTAAGGATATGATATTTAAAAATAGTAACGGTTATATTATTATTTTTTACCTTCTATAAATTCTATAGAAATTTTAATTTTTTTTACACACAGTTTTACTTCTAAATTTTTTTCTTTCAATTTCCAATCTTATTTATTTATCAAATGGATCTCAACCAATCGAATCCTTATTATAATTATATTCCTATGAAAAATGTAATTTTTTTTATGTATTATTGTTGTGAATTTTATATGTATTATTTTTAAGATGTAATTTTTGTATTATTTTTATGTATTATAGCTTACTTTTATTTTTTTTTACACACAGTATTATTTTTATGTATTATTATTTTTAAGTTTTTAAGGTAAATTTTATTTAAAAAATTATATGTATTTTAATTAAAATAATTAAATTAATAATAACTTGAATAAAAAATATAAAATATTATTATTTTTAAGTTTTTAAGGTAAATTTTATTTAAAAAATTATATGTATTTTAATTAAAATAATTAAATTAATAATAACTTGAATAAAAAATATAAAATGTGGGGTCAAGTTTTGGTTTCTTATAGACAACCACCATTAAAGTAAAAACTACTCAAATCAACTATAAATTTTTTAAATCCTACAAATCACTTTGGGCCCACAAAAAGTATTTTAGTTTACCCACTTAATTTACTCCAACTAAAAATGCTCTAAAATAAGAGGCGTTCTCTAATTTCACACCTCAACACTAATTACTACCGGTAATTACTTTTATCTTTTCTACTCTTATTAGGTTTATTAGGTTTAGGATGTTCCCTTTTCCCCTTTCTTTTTGAGCCAAAAACAACGTGTACGCAATGCGGGATAAGCCACCATTTCCACTATTCTAAATTTCCTTTCACTTCAGGGCTGAGTACATAACAACGATAGAAACCGTAGCTACCACCGCCTCCGTTGACCTCTTTGACCACCGCTGTCACACTTCTCTTCTATCTCGGTGAGTCGATTTCACATTCCCTTTACTATTCTATTAGCTGTACTGTTGATTTTTATTCTATGTTTGCGAAGTTTTGGGAATTGGATTCAACCATGGATCCTAATTGCCGTCAAAGGTGATTTTGTTATAGTGGTTCATGTAAAAGTGATGATTGGGGATGTGCGTTTTCTCACTTTGATAGCATGTTGGATCCACTAGTTTATGTGTTACATCATCTGAAATTTAGTGTAAAAATAGTTTCGTATCTGTATTAATTTGGTAGTTCACTATGATAATACTCATCCTTTTCTCAAATTGGGCTACTTAGAAGATATGCCATGTATATAAGGGAGGGACATTTTTATGTTAGAATAATATATGAGTAATAAGTCTTAGATCTTAACAATTTTAGGTATTTGTTTGTGCTCAACATGGAAGTTTTAGGGAATTTAAACATTTAGTTTAGTCCTTATAGTTACAAGTGGTAATTGGAAATGGGAATATTCAGTCAATATGTGAAATTTGGTTCTTAGATAAGGAAGGTGATAAATTTGAAGTTTGAAGTCTCTATTTTGTTTAAGGAATGAAACTTATTCCAATGGTAGAGTATTTTCCCCTTGTCATGTTCTTTCATGATCTGCGAGTGAGTGGCTGTATGCATATTTGTGTGTGCCAACTAGGATGCCTATTTGGATCAATATTGACAAATTATACTTTTGGAAAAACAAGTGAATGAAAAGGTTGATTCCTTTATCAAGAAAAATAAAACTTACTGTCTTGAGAATAAAAAAAATCCATTCAGATTGATTATCTAGAATTCAATGCCCATTTGATAAGTTTGAAGTCAGGCTTTACAATTCTGGACGCACTCATTCAAATGAGTTTGGGTCTAGTACACACCAACCAAAGCAATTTTTTCTAACAATTTAAGGAGTGTTTGAAATGAAAAAACAATTTGATTAAATATATAGTAAGTTATTTGTATTTGGTTTGGATTTGAAAATTGAATAGCTTTTTGTGCTCTCAACATTTGCTTTCAATACTGAAATAGAATTTGGAGATGAAAATTGAAAAGGCGACTTGGGTATACTATGTCTAAGTTGTTACCTTAAGATATCTTAATGAACTTAACAAAATAAGAAGAATATATTTTATGGGCATATCATAAGATATTTATATAAGTTTTACTAATACTTACACAAGTAGTTATTTATGAGAGAGACAAGCTTTAAAAAAACTCCAAAGAAACTCTTCCTCTCTTTAGATGTGACCCTAATGGAGATGTAGGGATAATAACGCGCAATGCTAGTTTCCATTGGTGACGATGTTAAATAAGAATGGTGAAGATGTAGAAAAGGTACTTGCAAGTTAATTTTTAGCTTAAATTAGGTAAAGAGAGCGAGGACCAAAATATTGAGCAATTATTGTCATACTTGAGGTCTTGTGCCTGTAATTATAGGGATACTATCTGTTACAGTTGGGATTTGCTTGCCATGTGATTGGGCTGTTTGATGTTTGTTTTGCTCCATGAGTCTAACTCTACTTCATAATGGCTGTTGAAGGATAAAGTATCCATGATTTTGTTACCTTTCTATTTGCTAGCATGTTAGACTGTAGTTGTCACCGTGAACTGGAACAATGGTTTGCATTCATTGAAGTGATCACGTGTATAAACATATACTAATATATATTTAGCAGGTAATGATTTTTAAATTAAGCCAATTAAGGTTTAAATGCACTTTAGTTCCTTAATTTTGACAAAGATTAACTTTTAACTCCTTATTTTTTAAAATGATTTTTAATCCCTGATTTTACGATCTTTGATATTTTTTACCCCATCATTTATGATGATATGGCAAAACTTTCCAATATCTACCCTTCCACATAGGTCCTCTATCACGTTCTCGATTTTCGTCTCTAAAAAAAGTTTCTAGATCTCATGGTTGTTGAGCTTGGAAAGCTCAATTTTGGAAATGTAATATAATTTCACTTCGAGATCCTCAATTCAAGTTGTAAATAGAAGGACCAAAACTCCATTTTAAGAAATGAGACTAAAAGTTAATATTGATCAAAATAAAGAGACCAAGTGCATTTAAGCTAATGTAATATTATTTCTTCATTTCATTTTTTATATTAAGAAAATCTTTTACTTTTGAAGTTCGTCCCAAATTCAATTTAAATGTTGTTGTATTGGACTAGCCTAAAACTAAGGGTTTTTATAAGGCGGCTAAATTAGGTCAACCCATACGAGCTTGAGTTGGATTGGCTATCTCTATAAAGCTAATTCAAGTTTTGTAGATCCATTGACAACCCGCTCAATCCACTCCATTATAATTTGATTGTGCACGGTGTTTTCGATTTCATTGCAGAAAGCCCCAAAAACCTCATTATATTGGGTACCATACTAAATTGGCCTGAAAGTCTTCCAATTGGAGCTTCTCTCAACTTTGCAGCTCGAAGTTATTGCAGATTGCAGAATTAGCTATTTAGATCACACATGGATGTCACACCAGACGCCCAATCTCAATGGGATTTTAGCTGGTTACTCTCTTTCTCTTTCTCTAGATTTTATAATTTCAATGAAATTCTTTATTATCTTTTTTATTACTCATGCTTTTTAGTTTTGACTTTGTCACAGTGTAGCAATGTGTATAGGTGGTTGTTATCCATTTCATATCAATATTGTTTTGAAAAAATTACTGATGTTTTCAAAATCATTTGAGTTTAGTTTACACTAGTAATCACATCATTGGCGGTAGTGTTTTACTATGACATCTTGAAAATAAATATATATGTACATGTACTACAATTGGGGGAACTATGAAGATTTTCATAGTTATGACTTATGAACATTCACTACAAGAGAAAAGCGGGAGATTGTGTATCAAAATTATTTGCTGTACTGTTCTCCATTGCAGTGACCTGGAAGTGGATTGTGGATCTGAAGAGAATGCTTCTATTGTGTATGCTACCATAATTGTTGACAAGGAAGTGAGTGTTCGAAGATATGGCTTTCTGATTCTGTAGTAGTAGTTTCTCAACTAGTTTTTCATTACTTCTATGTCTTCTGCAGTTGCAACCTGGTAAAGTAAAACGACTCATGACAGTTTCTAATGGAAAGCTAATAGTGTGAGTTGTTCATCATTAGCCATGTTATTTTCTTGAGGTTATGTTTGATGAGTTTGCATTGCAATCTATTGCATAAATAGATACTGCAACATGTTTGGTTTAGCTCCAAAGGCATACTGCTGAATCTGTAGTCTTGCTTAATCTTTCCTCATTCTTCTCTTCAGGCACTTTGAGGCAATAGAAGCCAGATTTCTTCGCGCGTCATTCAGTGCTTTTATGGACGTCGTTACACTAGCAACCAAAACAATTGAAGAATTTGGTCAAGGAATGGAGTTGTGAGAGATCAGCTTCTCTCTTGGCTGTTGCATTATTTAAACGTACTCTGTAACTTCAAATGTTAAAATGTAGTACTATTATTACTTTTTGTATGATTATTTATGCATCAAGAGTTTTTAATACGTGATGGATAATTTAAGCTGTAGCAGTGTCTGCAAGACTACAATATGGAAATGGAATGCTTAAACCATCTAATTTCAATTATAGTTGCAATATGGAAATGGAATGCTTAAACCATCTAATATGGAAATGGAAATGAAATGAAATGGAACGCTAAAAAGATTTATGTTTGAATAATTTTATCAAAAAAAGCGTTGAATTGTAAGTAAATTTGATAAGAAGGTTTCCAACAATATATATTTCTAAGATCTAGGGTTACTAAATTGGGAGTAATTGAAGATGATAAAAATAAAATAACACTTTTCTCATTTCATATCCTTTGTTGTAGTCAAAAAGGTCTTTTAAATACAAAATAAGAGACTGGATGTTCTAGTGAATCCAATGGACCTAGCCCAAATAACAGAACCCAAATTAAAAATTAAACATATAACTAACATAATTAATTATAAAAATCTTTCATCCACTTGGGCTGGTTCCTCTTTCTAATGGGCCTGCTATCACTACTTTTCGGCCCACTTTCAACCTTGTCCTCAAGGTTGGCATTGAGAGACTTAATGAATGGTGAGTTGGAAATAGGTGCCCTTTTACAAAGCCCAACGGTTTGGCCCAACTGAATAGAATTAATTGGGAACGGATGGGTGGAGTCCAGCTGGGGCGCACGTGGGGGAGTTGAAGCGGTTGAAGGGACAAGTGGGGATATGCATGTAGGGATAAGTGGGTTAGGCAGTGCACGTGGCTCGATGCAGACTTGGGAAGGTGTAAAGCTGTCTTGGGAAGGCGTTGCATTGATTACTTTGGAATCACTTTCATTCAAAGTTTCTTGCTGAGAACTTCTCTCTTCATTCTCTCTTTCTTTCTGAAAATTTTTCACAAACGCATGTCTTCCTTTTTGCTTAACCACTTCTTCATCCCTACTTTCACTTTTCTTTTCAACATGTTCCACCCTCGTAACAGAATCATGGTGTGACAGAGCTTCTGTTACGTTTGAACGATGGACGTCAACCAAGTTCTCAGATAAAGATGCATGCGGCAGATCTTGTTCGTTGGAAGTGGCGTTGTCAACAGGAAGTGGATGGAGATGTAAATCTGGGTTCCTGCCATGGAACGGACGAAGTTGGGAGACATGGAAAACGGGATGGATGCGAGATGTGTCCGGGAGATCCAAATGGTAGGCAACACTTCCGATCCGGTGAAGAACCTTGAAGGGTCCGAAGAAACGTTTGGCAAGCTTGGTAGAGGAGCGTTGCTGCACAGAGTTCTGACGGTATGGCTGAAGGCGAAGTAACACCCACTCTCCTTCTGTAAAGGTAACGCTTCGACGTTTTTTGTTGCTTTCAGTTTGCATGTCTGATCTACTCTTCTCAAGGTTTCGTTTTAGAATCTTAATAATTTCTTCTCTGTTTTGTAAGGAGGAGTCCACCAAGACCATAGAGGAGGATCCTGGGTCGTAGTGGGGAAAAGGAGGTGGAGGCCGACCATAGAGAGCTTCGAATGGAGACATCTTGATGAAGCTGTGAAATGCCGTGTTGTGCCATAGTTCTGCTAGATGTAAGTAATGGAACCATTTCTTTGGTTGTTCACTAGCAAAACAACGTAGATATGTTTCCAAACATCTGTTGACTACCTCTGTTTGTCCGTCCGTTTCAGGGTGGTATGCGGTGCTGTATTTCAAGGTGGTACCTTGTGCCTTGAACAATTCCTTCCAAAAGTTGCTAAGAAACAGGGGGTCACGATCAGAAATAATTGTGCGTGGAATCCCATGAAGGCGGCAAATCTCAACCGAGAATCTGAGAGCTAGGTCTTTTGCAGTGAACTTTGTAGGGAGTCCAATAAAATGACAGAATTTGCTGAGTCGGTCGCAAATCACCCAGATTACAGTATGTCCAAAGGAAACTGGCAAATGAGTAATGAAGTCCATCGTTAAGTCCTCCCAGACCTGGTTTGGAATTGGTAAAGGTTGCAGTAGTCCTTGTTTCTTCTTGGTGCTGTATTTATTCTTTTGACAAATTGAATAGGTTTTAACAAATTCTTTTGTGTCCTTGTAGATACCTGGCCAAAGAAAAGCACTAGAGACCCTAGCAAGGGTAGGTTGAAGTCCAGAGTGGCCAGCTATAGGTGTAGAGTGATATTCATTCAAGATTTTGTGTCTCAAGTTTTCAGCAGCAGGTATAAAGATTTTATCTTTATAGTACAACAAGTCATCCTTGAAGTAAAAAAAAACCTGATTGTCGTGTTTGGCTAATAGATCTGTGACAAGTTTTTGTCCTTCAGGTTGGATCTTGTTGTTGCACCCCAAAATTTGCCCTCACAATACAAGACTTTGTGTTCCAAGAAGGTTCACAAGGTTCACAAAATTCATAATTGGTCAGAAGAGTTGACAATTCCCTCAGACAATGCACCTCCTAAGCAGTGCATCCAAAACTAGGGTTTTGACTTTAATCAGGCTAAATGGACTTCCAAGACTTCAAGTGAGCTTCATAACATCTTATATGTGTATAAGAACCCCCATGTCAAGTTTCAAGACTTTTCTCAAAAGTTTGCTCAGTCAGATGATCAGATAAGTCAAAAGCAGTCAATGCAGTTAAAAGGTCAAACTGAGGTCAACTGTGGTCAAACCAAAGTCAAACTTCATGATTTTTTTTTTTGCCAACATCAAAGAGAGGTTGGGTGAGAAATATTATCATAATAACTGTAATACCCCAAATTTTGCCCTAAGATTTGTCGTCGCATTTCATTGCATTTAATCAATTACTAACAAATTTGTGTAGTCGTTTGACTTTTTGCAGGTAAATATCATATGGCATGCACTTTTTTTCTAAAAAGTAAAAATGGCACAATTGGCAGGAGGACATGTGTAAGGAGTTATGAGTGTGAGAGGTTGAGAGTTCGAATCTCACCTTTGGCACTTTTTGTTGTTTTTATTATTTTTACTCTAAATTTTTCTATCTTTCATTAAAAAAAATAACAAAAATAGTTTTTTATTATTATTTAATTATTATTTTCGTATTTTAATTAAATCATTTTTTAAATTATTTTTTCTTAACTAATTATTTAGTTTGGGCTTTAAAATGGGCTTTAGGGACATTATTGACAATTTGGTGTTAACCCTAATTTGTTCCCTATATATACATGTGTTGCCTTGTTGGAAAAAGAGGAGAGAATGAAAAAAAAACCTAAGAGGAGTGAGTGCCGTTGGCCGTTATTTAGTTTTCTTCTTCATCCATTACTATTGTTTCTTTTTCTTCATCGTTTACCGTTATTTCTTTTCCTTCATCTATTACTGTTGTTTCTTTTTCTTCATCTTTTACCGTTATTTCTTTTTCTTCATCTATTACCGTTATTTCTTTTTCTTTATCTATTACTGTTGCGTTTATATATATATAATTTTTAAATTGTTAGAGTTTATATATATAAGATTTTTGATCGAATTATGTCGATACGATGTTTGCACATTTGTGTGCATGACGCGTGACATTTGTGTTAGTTCGATCTGGTTGCGATGATCGCATTTTTGTGTGAGCAATAATACTATTTTTTGCTTAATTTCTTTTTCTTTGCGATAAATTTTGTTTCGTCCGATTTAGATCTGGTTGCGATGAGCGCATTTCTGCGTTAGCAACATTGTTGGGTTATTTGGCACATTTAAAATTCATTATTGCTTTATTATTATTATTATTATTATTATTATTATTATTATTATTATTATTATCATTATTTATTATTATTATCATTATTATCATTATTATTATTATTGTTATCATTAATTTATTAAAATTTGTTGTAATATAAAAATCTGTTTTTTTAAAATAAATGACATTAACATCTTTTTTCCAAATTAATATGAAAACCTAATTTTAATTTTCTATATGATTCTATGTATATATTTATTATAATTCTTGTAAATTTTTGTAAATAAAATTAAACCTTATAAACACTTAATGTAAAATTTTGGTGAATGTGATTATTGATTAGTTAAAATTTGTTTTCATCATAATGTGTAAATATTTTTCTTAATAATTGTTAATATATAATTAGAGATAATTAAATTTTTGTAAATGATTAAGAAATTTATAATTATGTTATATTTAGAACTTTATATTATAGTAATTATTTAATCATTTATGTTTCTAAATAAAAATCAAATCTTATGATATTTAGAACTTTATATTATAGTAATTATTTAATCATTTATGTTTCTAAATAAAAATCAAATCTTATGATATTTAGAACTTTATATTATAGTAATTATTTAATCATTTATGTTTCTAAATAAAAATCAAATCTTATGTTTAATCACGTTATTAATTAATTATTATTGCTAATCATATTTTGTTGCTTATTATTATTTTGAAATTTCTATCTTATTATTTTTTCTAACTTTGTCTATTTTTCTCATTATTATTGTTTCAACTAATTATTTTCACTAACTTTATATTTATACTAACCTTATTTAATTTTTCTTATTATTTACTAACCCTAATATTTTATTTGCTTATTTGTTATTTTTTTTATTTATTATAATTTTGTAATTGCCTCTTGGATGTAAATTGTAATTACTTAATTATTATTATCATTATGGTTAGTAATTAGGGAGTGCTAATATGTATGATATTTAAAAAAATAAATTAGATCATTTTAATATAAGATAATTAAATTAAACATTTCACACACGTAAGTCGATTTTAATCGCCGTCTCACTTCTTAAGGATATCCCTTAAGTTGCCTATGAATATTGGTTAAGTGGGGTGTATAAAGCAAGTCCCTCAAAAAGAAAATCATCAAAGTCCCTTATGGTTGCCTTTACGAATCGAGTCCCTTTCGAAAAATGATGATAGTCCCTCTAGTTTGCTTATTACACCCCACAATGGCCTTCAAAAATCCAA